GCTCCTCGTCCTCCCGCGCCGCCCGCCCCGCCTTGCCCGAGCGGGCGCCCGCAGCCGCGCTTACATCGGAGGCTTTCTTCTCCGCCAGCTCTAGCTTCTCCTGCGCGTCCTTCAGGTCCTCCGAGTGCCTGTCCAGCTCGTCTTCCGTGCCCTTCAGTTTCTTCTGGAGGTGCGTCAGCTCCTCTTCGACCTGGGGACACAGAGGAGAACGAGTCAGCCTAAGGGTGCGGGTCCCAGCTCTCTGGGCCTCAGTTTCCTTATCTGTAAAGTACGGACGTGGTGGTGCACGCCTGTCGCCCAGCGTTTGGGAGGCTGAGGCAGGGGGATGCGGAGTTTGAGGCCAAGAAACATAAAGCCTTTATGAGCTGGTGGATTGGCTCAGCGGGCAAAGGAGCTTGCCGCCAAGCCTGACACCACCAGGAGCCCATCCACAGAACCCACTGCCCCAAGCCGACCTCACACACGCGCCCCCCTGTTAATGCAGAAAGTAAAAAGTAGATAGAGATAGGTCTCTTTCAGAGGGCACAGGTTTGATTCCCAGCTCCTGTTCCAGGGGATCCAACACCCTCCTCTGACCTCCATGACACCATTGCATGCAGGCAGAACATCCATACACATAAAATAAAAATAAATCAGACACACATTGCAGAGTGTGCACTACTGAATTCTTAGACTCACCAGCGTCCCCACTCTCTTGAGGAAGGGCCTCACTACAAATCCGATTTTACATCCCCATTTTCGGAATTCGGCCTGCAAGGGATCGTCGAGCCTCTGGGTCTCTCACCGAACTTTACAGTCAGAGAGATGAAGTTTCTGGTCATGTGCAGGCCTGTCTCCCGGCCGAGAACCTTCTGTGGCTCCCCCTTGCTCTGGAGAGCCCTGAACCTGTTCCAGTGCCTGGCTTTGAGGGCTCTGCTGGTCACACCCCTCAGAGACCGATTCCCTTACAAACTCAAGTTCTCCGATTTTTGCACATTTGCTGTGACTGTTTTAATTTACACGCCCCTTAACTTTCTCTAGACCCTAGTCCTGTTAGTCCTGAGGGTCTGTCCCCGACTTCCCGTTCTCTCTCACAGTCACCCAGCTCTTCAGAGTCGGCTCAGGAAGCCACCCACCCAGCCTCCATGACATCTCCCAGCTGCCAGGGCCACTCCTGTGTCTGCTCCAGTGGATCGACTGGTGTGGCCAACTGTGTCACCCCAATGCTGTCTGTGGCCCCAAGCAGCCAGCACTCACTGTTCTGACTCCCTCAGCAGGAATCACAGAGGGTGGTGCCTTTCCCTGGGTTACCAGCACAGGACTGGAACCCAGTTCTCAAGGTAAACTTGTTGGGGACACAGGAAGGTTCATCACTGTGGACAGTAAGTTAACTAAGATGATAACCAGCTGGGGCTGCGCGCGTGTGTGTGTGTGTGTGTGTGTGTGTGTGTGTGTGTGTGCGTGTATGTGTGAGAGAGAGAGACAGAGACAGAGACAGAGACAGAAAGAGAGCCCGCAAAGCAGCCAGGAGAACATTAAATGCTGTCTACTTTTTTTTTTCCCCCTTTTTTTGGTTTTTCAAGACAGGATTTCACTCTGTAGCCCTGGCTGTACTGGGACTCACTTTGTAGACCAGGCTGGCCTTGAATTCACAAAGATGCTGCCTCCTGAGTGCTGGGATTAAAGACGTGCACCCCCGTGCCTGGCTGCTGTCCACTCGTTTTAATTTTTATCTTTGGAGACAGGGTCTCACTGTGTGGGTCAGGCTGGTTCCGAGCTCTCAGAGATCTGCTGCCTCTGCGTCCTGACCCAGGGGTTAATGCTCTGTTCTCTTCTCTCCCAGAGGCAGTGAGATGGAAGAGGGGCCACCTGGGAGGTCCCGAGGCACTCCTCAGTGGGTAGGAAGAAAGCCCACCCTGGGGGGCGGGAGGCAGGCCTGACATAGGGGTTCAGCTGAAGTCACCCACGAGTCCCAGATGAGGCACAGCAGAGTGCAGGCCCAGCTGGCTTGTGTGACATCCCAAGGCCACCCTGACACAGTCCCCGTCTGCCACTATGATGGATTTGACTGGGCCATCCCATCTTCCCTAGCACTTGACCTCTGTGCAGAAAGCCTGAAGTCAGGCTCCCAGCCCCAGACTTTTCTGGCCTTAATTTCCCCATCTGCAGAATGGAAAACTTGGTCTGGTGGACTCTGAACACTCTAGGGCAGGAAGCTGTCTTTGACTAAGAGAGTGAGTCATTTTCCTTAAAGACGCCGCCCAGAGCTGGGCTGGCCCTCACCCCCCTGTCTTCTTTCTGGACCTGTGGAGTGGAGTATTTATTGAGCAACTACTGTATGCCAAACATGAGTACTCTCAGTGTGAAACAGATTTGACCCCACTGGATTCTGAGGCTATAGAGAGAGTTTTAGGGGTTTTTGTATGGAGAGAGAGAGAGAGAGAGAGAGAGAGAGAGAGAGAGAGAGAGAGAGAGAGAGAGATTGTGTGTGTTCACATGAGGGCAGATGCCTGCAGTTGTGAGTTGTCTGACCCAGGTGCTGGCAACTGAATTCAGGTCCTCTGTAAGAGCGGCCAGTGCTGTTAACCACATACCCGCTGCTCCAGCCCGTCTGTTTTTTTGAGGCAGGGTCTCGTGTAGCCCAGGGTATCCTCCAGCAGCCAGGGATGAGCTTGAATTCCTGCCCCTTCTGCCTTCACCTCCAGAGTGCTGGGGTGACAGGCATGCGTCCCCTCACCTGACTGGGTGCCCGACTGAGTTCCTGATGTTTTGGGAGACAGTAGATAGACTGTCGGAAACAATGTAGACAGACTTACAGGCTCATGGAAGCCTTGTGTTACAGCAAACTGAGTCCCCGAAAGGGGAAGGGACTCCAGGCTCACACAAGTAGAACTTGGACATCAGTCAGTGCTGGTGTGACTGCAAGGCTCTGCTGTGGACACCTTCCGCTCTCAGCCCACCTGTCCCCACTGCCCTCAGCCTCCTCCCTCTGGCATTCCGAGGCTGGGGATGTCACTGAGGGCCAGGTTTGCAGCTGAAGTCACCACGGGCCCCAGCAGCAGAGCACAGCAGGAGGTGATCTTTGGTATGAGTATGGTGTATGTGTGTGTACGGATGTGTGTGGAGGTGTGTGGAGGTGTGTGCTTGTGTGCTTGCCTATGTGGAAGGCAGGTTAACACCAGGCATCTGCTTCTGTCCCTCTCCACTCTATGTTTTTTGAGGTGGGGTCTCTCACTGGAACTGGAGTCCTCTAGTTCATTCGGTTAGCCTCGCAGGGCAGGGAGCCCCGGGTCCCCAGTGCTGGGGTTACAGGCGTGCCCTGCTGTGCTGGGCTTTTACGTGGGATCTGGGATCCAAACTCAGGTCCTTCCTCATGCTGTGTGGCGAGCACTACCCACTCTGCCATCTCCCCAGCCGCCAGGAGTTCGTTGGCTGGATCGGTGACACACTCCAAAGCCAGCGGTAGGAGGAGGGTATGAAAAATAAACAGATCCGACCGGAACTGGGTCGTTTTCCTTTTGTCCAAACTTCATGCACGAAGTGTGTGGGTGTGCAGCCTTCCCTGGCCAGCCACTGTGCTTTGGGCCTCAGTTTCCCTTCCAGTAAAGTGGTCATAGGATACACAGTTTAGTGAGGTGGAGGCAGGATGTGGGGTCAAAGGGCAGCAGTAACGGATGTTGCTGCCCTGAGCTGGGAGTGGGCAGGAAACAGCAGGGCCAGTTTTCCATCCTACATCCACACTGGGCAGGCACAGCCAGGAACCGGATCTGGCTGGAGGTCTCTGGGGGCACAGGGGCAGGGGTTGGTTCAGATGGGTCCTGACTGGCTCCCTCTGTCCTCCCACAGTGTTAGGCCTTCTTGGGAAGGGGAGTCCATGTTGGTATCCATACCCACCCTGCAGCCTCTATCACCAGGCAGGACTCAACCTTCTGACCCAGCACCCCAAGATTTCACTAAGGGCTCAGAGACGGTGGTCTGCAGCCAGGTGCAGTGGTGGACACCTGGCAGGAGGATCACTGTGGGTTTCAGGCCAGTCTGTGCTGCCTAGTTGGATCACGTGTCAAAAAAACCATACCAGGGAGATGACGCAGTGAATAAAGGTGCCCAAGCCAAGCCTGAGAACCTGAGTTCAGCCCCAGGACCAGGTGAAGGAAAGAACCAAGTCCTAAAAGTTGTCCTCACGTGTGTGCGCCCCCCCCCAAACACAAAACAGACAAATAAAATGAGGAAGACTTGGATTCGAACCCAAGTCACCCCTAGCAGGTTGCTTGAGAAAAAGACTTGGAAAATATAGAAAGAAAAAGAAAAATCTGGGCTGGGGAGATGGCTCAGTGGGTAAGAACACTTACAGCACATGATGATCTGAGTTCAAATCCCCAACACCCATATAACACTCCCCCACCCCCCCCACCCCCGCCTCATATGGAGGAGCACTGGCTCTTACCATCCGCCGGGCTAGCTCCAGGGCCAGTGAGACACCCTGCCTGAAGGGGATAAGGCAGAGGGTGCTACCTCATACACAGGCGTCTTCCTCTGCCATCTGGGGCAGACGTATGTACACCACCCCCCCCCACACACACACACAGAGACAAATCCGGCGAGAAGCAGGACAGATTGTCACTATTTTGGTCACAGCTGGCTGGGGACTATGACACTCTTCTCTTTTGAGCACTGGGTTCCCTTGGGAGATTCGCCAGACCAGCCAGCCACAGTTAGTGAGACGTGGAGCCACAGACTCACTTTTCTCTTTCCCAATCCAAGCGCTTCATGCCGAGGGCTTCGAGGGCTGGGCGAAGCAACAATGTTCACTCACCACACAGATACGGGCAGGCAGTCTGTCTAGACTAGGTTTGCCAGGGAGGGACTCCGGGGAAGGAGGAGGGGTGGAGTCAGCCTACACAGATGTGCCACACAGGCTCTCCGGGCAGTCCTGGGACGGTGGGGGATGGGGAGGCCCAAAGGGGAAGTCAGGCGGGGCAGGATATAACCCCACATTTATTGAGTGCTTACGCCCAGCCAGGCACTGGGCCAAGGGTTTCACCTGCACAGTCACCCATGGGCCTCCGTGTGAGCTGGGGAGGTGGCTCTGTGACTTCCCCACCTTACGGGGAGGTCACAAAGGCACAGAGAACTGGAGGTGCTTGTCCCTGGGCACACAGTGACAAGTCTTCTGTCTAAACCAACTAAATCCCTGGCCTGCGCAGGGAGTCGAGTTTGGGGTCACCCTCCTGGGGGACCCCTGGGCTTATCTGAGGCTGCAGATGCTCCTGTGGTGGGGTATGCACTGAGGGCAGAGTGGGACGGTGCCGGAGTGAGGGACAGGGTTGCCTCCCTCCCTCCCACTGGGGCTCTGGATGCAACATTGAAACAAGTGGATTTGCTCTGCCCGGGTCACTGCAGTGACCGTGAGTGCTGAGCCTGCTCAGTGTCCACTGCCCCCACCCCCACGCCAGCTCTCGGGGGGGGGGGGTCCCCCACGCCAAGGCCTCCTGGGCATCCGCTCCCAGAGTACTCAAGGTTCCTCTTCCCGGAACCCAGACTCCTCCTGGCCACTCTGTAGCAGGTCACAGGTCACCTCTCTCCACACACGGCCACTCTGTGTAAGATGCTGTCACAGATGGGGACACACTGACACACTTAACCCAGACACACAGGCAGGCACACAGGACAATAGCCATCCTGGTAACACCCCATGGATGCAAGTCCAGACACTACAGCCCCAACAAGATACGACCATCCTGCGGCTGTGACGGAAGCACACAGACAGACAGACAGACAGACGGACAGACGTCTTATCTTCCTCACCCCGGATCCTGTACGACGTTCACACACCACACAGGTGTGAGCACACACGCACGCTGGAGGTAGGCCCAGGGAGAGGAGCCTCCACACACAGCCGCCCTGACTCACACCCTGACGGCCAGGTCCGCTTCCTTCTCACTTTCTCTGACTCCCTCTGACCATGCTACGTACGGGCCAGTGTCGCTCTGCTCTGGCACCCAGGGGCTCTGGAGACCACAGCCTCCTGGGAAGAACAGGGCTCCCCTCGGTTTTTCTTTGTTAGCAAACCACACACCCCAGTGTGGTGGTGCAAGCGTGGGGGGGGGGGTGTCAGCGGGCAGCTGGCTGGAGGCGTTTCTCTTCTCCCAGCGTGTGGACCCCAGGGACTGAAGGCAGGTCGTCTGTCTTGGAGGCAGGCCCCTTAACCACTGAGCCATCTCCCCAGCTGGTACCCTTGCCTATTCTAATACAGGGCATTAGCCGCCCCCCCGCCCCCCCCCCCGGCAGTGCCCAGGCCCCAGAGTTCCTGGGATGCTCACCCTCAGGCCCAGCCTGAGACAGCAGAAGGAGTCAGCGCAGAGAGGATGCTCGGCAGCCCGGAAGCGGCCCAGCGTGGCCCAAGGCTCTTACTTGCTTGCACTTGTCCTCAGCTGTCTTCTTGTCCGCCTCGGCCTGTTCGGCGCGGTCGATGGCATTCTCCTTGTCCAGCTTCAGCATCTGCATCTTCTTCTTGATGGCCTCCATGGCTCCTGCGGGGTGTGGGCACCGGGACTGTGTGAGCAGCCCAGGGTGGAGGACCAGGCCTTATAGGCCTTGCGTGCCCGCCCCCCTGCGGGCGAGTCTTGGAGGAGGCCCAAGTCTGCTGCCTGCCGGGCCAGCCGCCACTCGCTCGCAGGCTCGCACTCGGGAGGACTTGGCCAGCTCACCTGCCCGAAGACCTTGCCTTATTTGGGTCTAGGCTTTTCTTAGAGAAAAAAAAAAAAAAAAAAAAAAAAAAGGCCAGATCCGGTTCCATCTATAACCTGGCGACGCAGGTATGGGACCCACGTGAGACTGCGGGCAACAGGCGGGTCTCCTGAGATTCCTGTGGGCAGGCCTGGGGCAGGGCTACACCTCAGTTTCCCTGGCTCCAGGGAAGAATGACGGTCTGTGAGTGGGCCCGGAGTCTTTGCCTCAGCTGTGGAGAGATGCTTGCCTGCATCCCTGTCCCGTCGAGTGCTGCCTGTGGGTCTCAGGGCCAGGCGTCTTCCTTAGGTCCCCTGCTCACACCCGGCACAGTCTCGCCTCTCTTCTGCTCCTGTCATCTCTCCCCCTATCTCTTATTCTATAACTCTCTGTCTCTTTTCCATCTTTCTGTCTGTCTCTCTTACATCCCTGTCTCTTCTGTGGTTTCTCTCACATGCAGCTCACCAAACTGAGAAGCCTGGCCCATCAGCTGCCGGGGGTTATCTCCTGCAAACTTGCAGCTGTAGGCAGGCCCGGGGTTCTTAGACCCCATACTCTGTCTTCCTTGTTCAGAACCTGCCTTAGCTCCCTAGGACCCACAAAAACAGCAAATGCCCGTAGACTCCCGCACTCCCCACCCCTGCCAATGCCCCTGGAAAGCCAGACCCTGGACTTTCAGCCCAGCAGCAAGACCTTCTTGGTCTGGGATCTAGGCCTCGCCTAGACCTTCCCCTGAGTCCTTTCTCTACCCCTTCCCTAATTTGATCTGTGTTCTCACCATGCAGACTCGGTTTCCATTTGTGACAGAAGCAGACCGGATTAAATGTATCTTCAGAGTGTCAATGAAAAAAACTCCGGGGCAGGTCACAAAGGCTCCCGAGTCAAGCCTGTCACCAGCCTAACAGGTAGACACTTTCCCTTTGTTTGAGACAGGATCTTCCAATGCAGCCCAGGCTAGCCTAGAACTTACGAATCTCTCATCTCAGTCTAGGAGAGTACTGGGGTCACAGGCCTTTACCACAGCACTGTGCTATCATATTTTTGCAGTACTGTGTGTGAAACTCAGTCTCACCCCAAGCTCAGTAAGTGTTTCTCTGCCCACTCATGACCTCACTGGGGGATTCCAGGCAGGGGTTCCACCTGTGGGCAACATAGCAGCCTACCCCCTTCCCAATTCACAGATAGGAAACTGAGGCCCAGGGGAGCTCACTCCTGGCCTCCCGCCTTGTCAATGACTCAGCGGACTCTGGTGCTGAGCGGGTATGAGGTCTTTAGGCCCCGCCCCATGTGGCTGAATCAACCACCTAGAGCTGAGTCATCCCAGGTCACCCGGCTCCGTCCCCACTGCCCCTGGCGCCTGCCCACCGCTGGTGCTGTGGCTAATTCCAGGTCTGACAGCAGCGGCCCAGGAAGAGGCTCCTTCCCACAGAACCCGTTCTCCTGGGTACGGCCTGGCCTCTCACGGGGCAGGCGCTGGTGTCTGGACCTGCCCCTTGCTCAGGGAGCTCTGGGGTGAAGTCTGATGTCTGGAGAGGACTAGGGGGCTGTTCCCTGTCCCCAGACATGTCCTCTTGTCCTCTGCCCTGTAGCCTGAGGGATGGACCTGCTGTCTTCCTGTGTCCCTGCCCCAGGGACCTTTGGGAAGTTCTGGCTAAGGGCGGAGGGACATTTGGAGTTCCTGGCCCCTGAGGGGAGGTCCGGCATGACTGTCCAGTCTGTGAGCGCTGGAGGCAGGGCCGTTAGCAGATGACATTCACAGCTGAAAAAGAGTGTGGTCCCCTTTATTCCACTTGAGGAAAGATATCTTGGACGTGAGACTCAGAGTCATTCATGGAACAGAATTATGATCCAGGCTACTGTGCTGGTTTCTCTGTCTCTCTCTGTCTCTTTCTCTCTGTCTCTTTCTCTCTGTTTCTCTCTGTCTCTGTCTCTGTCTCTGTCTCTCTCTCTCTCTCTCTCTCTCTCTCTCTCTCTCTCTCTCTCTCTCTCTCGTGTGTGTGTGTGTGTGTGTGTGTGTGTGTGTGTGTGTAATGTTAACTTGTGGGATTCAAAGGTCAGCTTGTGGATTCCGTCCTCTCCTTCCTTCCACCATGTGGGTCTGGAGACCCCGACTCAGGGCGTCAGGTTGGTGGCTAGCTCCTTTACCCACTGAGCCATCTCCTGCCCCATATGAGGGTTTGTTTTGCGTGACACAGCAGAGATGTGACTCAGCCCTTTGGGGTGAGGCTGACCATTTCAACAGCACAAACAAGTGTCTCGGTTTGGGTGTTGCAGAAGCAGATCCTCACACAAGATCTCAGGGTGAATAGTTTATTAGGGAGGTGATCTCAATACACAGGAGCAGTGAGACCAGGAGACCCCAACCTTCAAAGAAATTGGTTACCACCAGATTCAATAGGGTTGCAGTACCACAGCCAGCCTATTGGGGGCGCCAGAGAATACAGGCCTTCTCCACCAATCCCTGACCCTTGTGGTCTGTGCCAGGAGGGTGCTGATTGGCCAGTGATTCTGTGACCAGTGCTTTTCTGTTTTTGTTTTTGAGACCCCCAGTTGACTATGTAGCCCAGGCTGACCTGGAACTCACTATGTAGACCAGGCTGGCCTGAACTCACAGAAATCCGCCTGCTTCTGCCTTAAGTGCTGAGATTAAAGGCCAGGGCCACCACGCCTGGCCCGTGTTTTAGTGTTTTTTTTTTTTTTTTTTTTTTTTTGTTTTTTTGAGACAGGATATTGCTATGTAGCCCAAGCTAGCCTCCATGCATCCTTCCTGCCTCAGTCCTGAGTGCTGGGATGATAACATAGGTGTGAACCATCAGGCCAGTTGGTTCCCTGGGTCTCTACATGCCACAGATTCCTGGAGACTTTTGGGGTGGGGGAAAGACTCTCTTATGTGATTTGACCCCATAGTTACCCACCTTGTCCTACCTCCTTCATATTCATGAAAGGCAACAAGCTAACTGTATCAACCTTTCCCCATGGCATCCAGAGCGATGTCCCCACCCTCCTTCGCTGCCACCCACGGTGAAACAGGGGCCCAGCACTGCCCTTTCTCACTAAAGCTGTTGGCCAGCCCCTTCATCGGCCCTGGCCTCTGGGCTTCACTCTGTACCCAGGGCTGCCACCTCCCGGGCTCTCCCTAACTTCCACATCTGGCATGCCCCTCTATCTGCAAACTGCTCACCCAGGGCCAGTCGACCGGCTGTCACAAGGCGGGATTTGAGCAGGAATGTCTGGTTCGGAAGCCCTGATGCCCCCATTTATTAAGAAAGACCTGAGGGACTGGCAAGATGGATCTGTGGTAGAGCACGGGCCTAACGTGTGAACCCCAGCTTCTGATTTCCAGCACTGTTGGGATGACTGACGTAAGTGGTGTGGGTGTGGCCTGATGCCCTCTTTGCGATAATGAGCAGCACTGTGTGGTTTAGAGAGCTACGAAACAGGCAGAGCCACAGGCTCGGCAGCATGGTGGGGTAATTAATAATAATTACGGTTAACACTGATTGGCCCCATTGTGCCTGGGGCTGTCTGTCAAGTGCCTTCAATTGGATTGCACGCAGTTTTACGATTCTCCCAAGAGACAGACACTGTGTTTTACTTTAAAAAAGAAAAAAAAGGTTTACTTATTTTTATTTTATGTGTCTGTGTGTGAGTTTGTGCACCACAAGCATGCAGTGCCTTTGGAGGCCAGAAGAGGGCATCAGATCTCTAGAACCAGAGAACCTGATGTAGGTGTTGGAACTGAACCCAGGTTCTCTGCAGGAGCAGCCAATGCTTTTCACAGCTAGTACCTTACTCAAGTGTCAGAGCTGGGATTTGAACATAGATTCTTAACTCCAGAGTCCACACAAAGAGCCACTAGCCAATGCCATGGCTAGCCTCTTCTGGTCCAGGGCCAGCTCAGGTTATTTACAGTGGTCAGCCAAGGGGTGTCATTGCTGCTATCAGGGGACAGTTCCACTCATGACTAAAATATCTGGCTCCAGGGGTGTGGCAGCCTGGGTTCCAGCTACCTCCAAGGATGTTTGCCTATGGGGCATAGCCTCCCCCTGCGAGCAGAGGGCAGGTTTGTTTGGTTTCTGTAGAGATAATAATATTCCTCTTGGACCTGAGGGTGGGGCAGGAATGTTTGCTTCCAAAATAAAAGATGGATTTTTTTCTTTTAAAGAACAGCTTTTATTTCTTTCTTTGAAAATTTTGATTGAAAATATTTTTTCATACAATATATTCTGATCACTGTTTCCCCTCTCTCAACTCCTCTCAGAGCCTCTCCACCTCTCCACTCACCCAACTCCATTCCTTCTTTCTCTCTCTTTTTTAGTAGAGAAAAAAAAAACCCAAACAAATAGGCAAACAAAAAAAGCAAACAAGCCAGAATAAAAAAAAAACAAAGAGCACAAGAAACACATAGACATGTGCTTGTACACACACACACACACACACACACACACACACACTCAGCCCCATGAAAACACAAAATTGAAAACCATAATTTACAAGCAAAAGACCAGTAAAACAAAACAAAAAATGCCCAAACAAAGCAATGTGAGTAAAAAGTTCTAGAAAGAACACTACTGAGCTGGTTTCGTGTTGGTCATCCGGCTGGGCACAGGGCTTCCCTTCCCGTGGTTTGTGTGCCCAGGGGGGCTGCACTGGAGGAAACTAACTTGTCCTTTGCAAGCAGCTGTCAATTGGAGACAGTTCCTGGGTTAGGAATGGGGGTTTATGTCCACTTCCCCCCTTCAGCTCTGGAACCCCATTGGCTGAGACCCATGCAGGCCCTGTGCATGCTGCCACAGTCTCTGTGGGTCCCGTTGTCTCTAAAAGGCCTG